TTAGAGGGTAGGATTTTCGTAGAAAATCTGGGCACAGACGTGAGAAGTCTTGCTGGCTATTGCAGAAGTTCAGACATCCCAGTAAAGAGAGTGAAGGGGAGAACCTGCCCTGAGTGCTCCTGCAGGGGTGAAGCTGCTGTCACACGCTGCTGCTTTAGCCCTGGCAGGTAAAAACAAGTGCTGTCAGCCAGGTGAGATAGTGGTTGTCAGCTTTGGTGTGAGTGACATGATCTTTTGCCCCACTCTGAGTGGGGGGTGACAGTGTGTCCCTTCTGCCTGATGGCTTGTCTTGATCTGCTCATTGCTCCCCCTCACAGCCCAGGTTTAGATGACATCCCAAAGCACCTGGACAGTGTGGTTCTATCCTGGCTTATGCTTGAAAGGAGGTCGTGGTGAAGTGGGTCTCAGTCTCCTCTCCCTAGTAACAAGTGATAGAAAAGACGAAATGGCCTCAAGTTGCCCAGAGGAGGTTCAGGTTGGATCTTGGGAACAATTTCTTCCTGGAAAGGGTTGTCAGGCCCTGGCCCAGGCTGCCCAGGGCAGGGGGGAAGTCCCCATCCCTGGAGGGATTTCAAAGCCCTGTAGATGTGGTGCTGAGGGACATGGGTTAGTGGTGACCTTGGCAGTGCAGTGTTAATATCTCAGGGATCTTAAAGGTCTTTTCCAACCAAAACAATTTGATGATTCTATTCTTCTATGCCTGGTTGTTTAGTGTGGCTTAATGTGCCTCCCAAACTGGTGCAACACCAGCCCATCTGAAACAGAGCCTGTTGCTTACATCTGACCAGGTGATCTGCACTGCTGCAGAGTCAGACATCAGGCACTGAGATTAATCTCCAAAAAGTGCCAGACTTGTGTGGTTCTGCACAGCTGTTGATAAAAGGATGGTCTCCTGGTTTTTGAGGCCCCTTGCCTCATCCAGAGCAGACGATGGAGCAGCTCTGGAGCTGAGCCAGGCCTGGCACAGAAGATGCTGTCTGCAGGGCTCTGGATGTGTTTGCTGTGAAGTTGTGGTACGTGGGATGTGGAGCTGCAGGAGGGAGGAAAATAATCTTGTTTTTTGGCAGCCCTGGGTCTCTCTTGCCCGTGCTCAGTGAGGTCTTTGGCTGCAGAACAGTCACCTCTCGTTCCTCATTCTGCTTAAGTCTAATAGTGATTTGGAGAAGTGTGCCTGAGGTCAGTAAGTGTTGCAACTGGGCAGAGTGTGGTGCTCAGCTCCATGGTGCAAAGCACTCTGAAAAAAAGTGTGGAAAGGATTGCAAACTCTCTCACATGTCTTAGTCATTAACTGGGGGACTGGGATGCTGGGTCTGTCTAGATGGGCAGTGCAAGGATTTTGCTTCTGAGGAGGCTGGTGCAGGTCCCAGGCTCTGTGAGCAGGTGCTGCTGTGCTGACCTGGAGCATAAACTGCTCTTTGTCTCTCATGTGGCCTGCTGGGCTCTCAGTATGTTCCTGCATATGTTGTGGACTAAAAGGGAGTTCCAAGCAGCTTCAGTCTTATCTCAGGTTTTCTGTGCCCAGCTGTGAGATACCACAAGCCCACGTAAACCCAGGACAAACTTGTTTTCATGGCCTCTCCCTACAGAAAATCCATCCCGGTGTGTGGCAGGAGGTCTTGCTGGGATGTGGCTTTGCTGGGGCTGCATCTCTGCTGCTGGGTGAAAGTCACCTGCCAAATCACACTGAAGTTGTTAAAACTGCTTGGAGGCACCTGCAGCCTTCCCATGGTGGATGGAAGAAAATCAGCAGCAAAAGGGCTTGAAATTCTCTTGTGACAAGCGTCAGATGAGCTTCACCTAGAAACATCTTTTCTCCTCTGTATACTTAGGGGCAGCTCAGAGGAAGGTGTCCCTGCTGCAATGTCTTGTTTTGGGCAGATGGAACCTGTTGTTTGGGGCAAACAAATCCTCTTCCTTCACTGCTGCTGTAAAGGGGAACACGTGCCCTGGGAGCAAAGAGGAGAAACTGACTCCAAAGCGAGCTGAGCAGTTTGTCCCTGAGCCTGATGGCAGCTGTGCTGGCTGTGGAGCAGGGAGTGAGGGCAGGATGGGGGCAGGAATGAGGAAGGCAGGAGACTGCCCACCAAAACCAGGGCTGGTGGGTCCCAGAGATGGGGTCTGCCAGCTTTTGTGTTTGGAAAGAGTTGTGGGACCGAGACAAACTGTTCAGCTGTATGTTATTCCTGGTGAGGGATGAGCACAGATAGAAAAGGGAGCACTGGGCTCCTGTGCCATCCAGGCTCGGGCATCTCCACTGCCTGGGCTGGCACAAGGATGCTGCTGGATGTTTCTGCCCTCCAAGGAAACTCCTGGACCAGGTTGGGCCCTCCTCCTGGTGCCGGGGGAAAAAACAGGCTCTGGAGAAACACACTTTGTGTCCTTTTAAGGCAATGCAAAGGCTGGGAGTGGAAGGATCGGGCTGGAAGGGAGGGATTTGGCACTGGCTGCAGTGGTGGAAAGCCCAGCCTGCTGGGCCTTCGGAAGAGACTTCCCGGTGGCTGCAGTCACAGCCCAGCACAGCTCCCGGGGGCCCTGGGGCAGCACAGCCCGTCCAGCCCCTGCTCCCAGCACAGCCCCTGCTCCCAGCACAGCCCCTCCAGCCCCTGCTCCCAGCACAGCCCGTCCTGCCCCTGCTCCCAGCACCTTCCACAGCCTGGTCTGTCTGCCCTGTGCTGGGACCCTCCCAGGAGCTGCAGCAAGGATAGAGCGAGTCCCTCGAGCCTGCCCTGCCTGCCCTGCCTGCCCTGCCTGCCCTGCCTGCTGTTACAACCAGCTTGAGATCAATTTCCCTTTTGTGTTTCCTGACAAAACACTCTTAGCCAGGGACAAACTCAACTTCCCCTACACTGGAAAGCAGAGAGATCTGCCTGGTGGTTCTGCAGTGCCTCATCCTCCCTCATCTGCCACCTGATACAGCCCCCAGCCCCATCTGTGCCCCCCAGACAGCCCTAGTGGGGGATCAGGGATCCAGAGATGGTTGGACTTGAGGATCTTTCCAATAAAAACGATGTTATGGCTCTCTGGTTCAGCTGCCCCGGGAGCTGCAGGGAGCAGGCTCAGAGGCTGTGCCAGGCACTCCCAGTTCCGGGTCCTTCCCTGTGGCTCCACAGCTGAGCTGAGGGCAGGGAGGAGATCTGTGTGCTGTGGGGTGGCACACAGCGTAGTGTGAGGATGGTGCTTGGGTTTGGGGACCTTGTTCTGCTGCTTTAGCTGTTCAGGATTCAGGAAGCACAGTGCCATGCCCACAGCAGGGGGTGCCTCTGCTGCTGGTCCCCACCTGTGAGTAGGAGAGAGAATTACAGAAGTGTTGATTGAGAGAGGCCTCTGGAGACCTCCCAAGCTGAAGCTTTTGCTCATTGACCCTTCTCATATTCTGCATCATACATGACTTTTTCCCCAAATTCTCTTTAGGTCTTGAAAGGGACAGAGGACATTGGGCACCCCCAGAAGGTGTTTTATTTTCTTGTCTTTATAGCAGTCCTTGGTTGCTGTTAGATCCTCCTTGTGGTCCAACTCAGCCAGCTGCCTCCTTCAGCATCTTTTAGGACTTTGTTTCTTGAATGTCTTGAGGTTTATGTTGGTCCTATCTTCAAAAGCATGAAGGCCCCTCTGGGTTGGATCTCTGCCACTTGTGTTAGCTGCTCACAGTATTTTGGACTTACCTGCAAATCTCCAGATCAAGGGGCCTCTTGATCATAGAATCATGGAGTCATTCTGGTTGGAAAATACCTTTAAGATCACCAAGTCCAACCACAACACAACTCTACTGAGTCTGGTGTTAAACCATGTCCCTCAGCACCACATCTATGTGGCTTTTAAACAGCTCCAGGGATGGGGACTCCCCCCCTGTCCTGGGCAGCCTGGGCCAGGCCTGACAACCCTTTAGGGAAGAGATTGTTCCCAAGATACAATCGAAACCTCCTCTGGCACAACTTGAGGCCACTTCCTCTTGTTCTAGTCACTTGTTCTTTGGGAGCAGAGCCCGACCCCCCTGGCTCCAACCTCCTCTCAGGCAGCTGCAGAGCCAGAAGGTCTCCCCTCAGCCTCCTTTGCTCCAGGCTGAACATCCCAAGTTGCCTCAGCTGCTCCTTGTAAGACTTGTTCTCCAGACCCTTTCCCAGCTCCATTGCCTTTTCCTGGACATGCTCCAGCCCCCAGTGTCCTCCTTGGAGTGAGGGGCCCAAACCTGGCTCATTTTTCATCAGATACATTTCAGGAAAGAGGAGAGAGAAATCAAATTGTTTATGTCCTGCCCAGGAGCTGCATGGTAGCTTAGCTTGGTATTCAGGTGTTTGCCCTGCACACAAGCCTGTGTCCCTGGGGCTGCTGATTTTCCATCCTCCCTGACTGCACCTCCAGTCCTGGAGGACCCTGAGATGCTGGAGCAGAGGGTGAACCTGTGAGCAGTTGTCCAGGTGAGGCACAGGGTAATGATGCTATGGGGACCTGGTGCCAGAGCCCACTGTGTCTGGGGTCAGCTGCTGCCCTTTGGGCAACCCTGGCAATACCCCTGCCCCTTGGTGGCAGAAATGGAAGAGGTGTTTGGGGAGGAGAAGCTGGAACTGTTTCCAGCTGGTGTGGCAATCTGTGCACTCCCCAGCACCAAGGCTTTGGTCACCCTGGCACTGCTGTGTTGCCCTATTAACAGGATTGGGATCTAATGAGGTGCCAGTGCCATGGGTACCTCTGTGAGCGCCATCTCCCACCATTGTCCCACTTCCTTCCTTTTCCTGGCACAGAAAGGAGCTGTGAGGTCCCACAGCTTCTGCTGCTCCTGACTGGTCAGGAAGGCAGCTGATGCTGCTGGGTGCTGTAAGGGTGGGTCCTGTGGGCATCCCAAGTTCTGCTGATTCTGCTGGTTACCCTGTGGATCTGTGCACACAGCAAACAGCCATGGGTGGTCTCCACACGTGCAGATGTGGAGCAGCCTCTGGAGCTGGGGCAGCTCTGCCCCATCCCTGCCCTGCCCTGACACTGCCTCTGCCTGTGCTTTTCCTGCAGGATGCCAAACTGGGGAGGAGGGAAGAAGTGTGGTGTGTGCCAGAAGGCGGTGTACTTTGCTGAGGAGGTGCAATGTGAAGGCAACAGCTTCCACAAGTCCTGCTTCTTGTGCAGTGAGTACCAGCCCTTCCCTCACCCTCCTGCCCTGCTCCCCTGCTCTCTGCCTCCTGGATGCCCCGTTGTGTCCTGTTTATGGGCCATGTAAACACTCCATGGGATCCCTCCTCCATGTGGGAGCCATGTGGCAGCCTTGCTGCTTCTCTCCAGACTTGGAAGTTAGTTCTGCTGAAGGAACATGGATCATCCCAGGACACCAGGGGCCAGCCAAGATGTCAGGGCTGGCCTCAGCCAGCGCCCACGCAAAGCCTTAGTCTGTCCCCACAGCAGGGAAAGGACAGGCTGAGTTCTCTAGACTGTCTCCAGATGTTCAAAATTAGAGCATGAGACAGGGGCTCTCCAAACAGCAGTAGCAGGAGGTGACACATCCCGGGGGTGATGATACTTTTAGTCTTCTCAGTGGCTTTGCCACACTACAGGGGTGGTTGGGCCTTGGGAGCTGGTGTGGGATCTGCCCCTGTGTCTCAGGGGGTGATGGGAAGATGTGATCCTGTCCTAGCCCTTCTGCTGGTGGGAAGTCCACTGTGAAGTGCTAAAGTATCACCTCCAGCCTGCCTGCAGATCTGCAATTGTGGATATTGGGTGTCTCTGTTGTGTGTTTGGACCCAAGTGTCACCTCCAGGGAAGGACAGCAGAACAGGATTTGGCTGTGTTTTACCAGGTTTCTGTTCCCTTGAAGATGGTCCCATAACAGAACCAGTGGTTCCCCTGTGCTGCTCTGGAACACATAGAGGAGAGCACCTCAGAGCTGTCCCTGCCCAGGGTCCTATGGAGCTTTAACACTTTCTCAGCTGGTCCCTGTACCTGTTCCCAGTCTCACCATCCCCCTGCAGCAGGGAGCACAGATGTGATCTTTTCCAGCCAGGCAGCAAGCAGAGCTCAGGCTGTTATCAGGCACCCAGGCAGAACCAGTCTCAGCACATATTCCAGCAGGGAAATAGTGTTCTCATGGGGCTGATCCCTGCTGTGCTCCCATGTCCACCTGGCAAGGACACTGGATCCTTCTTGGCCAGCCTGCGAGGGAAGCTCTGATGGTTGCAGGTGTGAGGGGCTGTTGTTGTGTCTCTGCTTCCTGTGCAGGGTGACAAGGAGGGCTGGCATGGCTGGTGGATCTTACACGTGGGAGTTTCCAGGCTGGAAACCTTGCTTTGGCTGTGGAGGACTCAGAAGGGAAGTTGCAGGGAGGCTTTTGGGGGCGGGCAGGGGATGACATGCTGTGTCCTCCTTGCTGCCCTGCTCTGCAGCAGGAAGCTGTGCTGCTGCTGCAGCCTCAGATAAGGAGGGTGGGGAATGTTACCCTCATCTTCCCTCTGCCACTGGCTTTTACCATCTGAGACCATGTCAGTGAAGGACCTCAGTGTGGGAACTCAAGCTCCATGGCACTGCATCCATCTGCCCTGTCCTGCAACCCCTGTGCACACAGCTGGATTGCATAGGGAAAGCTTCTGCCCCAGGGCATGGGACAGGCCTGCAGGAGCCATGGAGTCAGACAAAAGGCTTTGCTTCCAGAAGGGAATACCAGGCCAAAGCAGGGAAGAAGATCAGCCTGTGTCTGCTCATGAGAGCAAGTCACCAGGGATTGGTCTGGAGCTGAGGACAGCCAGGGCTCCACTCCTTGGGCTTTGCAGATGTACATAACCCCACTCCACATGGACCCTGACAGTTCTGCCTGTCCTGGCCCTGGGCTCCCCAGTTCAGGCTGTGGTTTTCATGCCAGCCCACAGTGTTTCCCACTGTCCCCAGTCCTACCCCACAGGTTATGGGTGATGCTGAGCTGCATCCTGTGTTCCCAGCCTGTTCATAGAAACACTGAACAATTCAGGTTGGAAAAGACCTTTAAGAACATCGAGTCCAACTGTTTATCAGCCCTGCCAAGGCCACCACTAAACCATGTCCCTCAGCACCACATCTACATGGCTTTGAAATCCCTCCAGGGGTGTTTCTTTAGTGCTGCATTTGGGCCTTGTCAGGGAGCTTGAAGCCATTACCTTTAGTGGAAAAACAACAAATGCTTGGACCTGATCTGCCAAAAGAATAGCCAAAAAGGAGACAAACCTACCGCAGAGCATTAGAACTGGAGATTGGCTGAGGGAGTGACTTGGTGATTGACTTGGTGGCATCGATCCAGCTGAGTCAATAGCACAGGGCAGGAATGTGCTGTAATGAGGCTGTTTGGCCACTGAAAGTGGCAGCAGCTCATGTCTAATTGTTTTGTGGAGCAACTCAGCTGCTCTTAGACAAACAAAGGGTCCTTAACTCGATGAGTGCAGGGCACTGGAATTCCTGCAATGCAGAAACCCGGGAGCTGGGGGTGATTTCTAGGAAGCAGATGAGGAAAGAATTTTTCCGTGGCTTCTCAAAGTGTCTGTGGCTCGTGCAGATGAGGGACTATGAGAGTGAGAGCTCTAAACCCACCCAGCATGGTGGGAGAAAAAGACAGATGCCACTGAAAGAATTCACTCCCACCCCTAGGAAAGGGTCTTTAAACCTGCCAGCAGTACAAGTGCCCAACTTCCCATCCTAGGGTATCTGTCTGAACACAGTGTTGCTCCTGATGAGCTCCAGGTAATGCAGAGACAACCCCAACACCAGCTTGGCAGCAACAGGACCAGTTAACCACTGCTGGTCTTTCTCAGTAGGGATGCATGGTCCAACCTCAGCTCTGGCCATGGTGGGACTGGGGAGCTGGTAGCCAGGAGATCACTGCCAGATCATCCTTAGATGGAAGGAGACATTTCCCTTTCCACCTCTTCATCCCAGCAGCTGCAGAGAGACTTCTCCACAGCCTGGGAGCAGAAGCACCATATTTAGTAGCTGGGCTGAAGGGAGAGGCTGCCTCTGTCCCCTGTGGCTGGTGCTGGAAGAGGGGGCCTCTGCTCTCTCCATCCCTGCCATGCTGGTCGGGGCCAAGGACCCTCCCTGCTGCTGAAGAGGCCAGCAGGCTGCTGGCAGCCTTGACATTTAAGGTGTGTAAGCAGGATGGGGGAAGACTGAGGCAGCTGTAATAGGATTTGTTTTTTGGGGCTGGCTGCCAGAGCTGTGGACTCTGCCCTGGGCGTCTGGATCCTGCACCGGAGCAGATAAACACCAGAGATCACTGTGAGCATATTTGGGTGCTGCTCACTTCCCTCTCGGGCTTGCTGGGCAGCTTGTTCCAGGAAGGGTTTGGAAGCCCACGAGGAGGCTGAGATCACAGCTGTGGTGGGAGTCAGGAAAACCTAAAAAGCAGGAGAAGAGTCTGTGTGGTCTGAGGCAGCACCAAGCTCAAGCTCTGGACGGGCTCAACTGGGGCCCTGGGCCTGCTGCTGGCTGCTCCACTGCATCTTACAGCCCATCCTGATCCCCAGGGCTTGAGCACCTGGGGGACGTGAGGCTTCTCACCTGTGACCACCCTGTGCACACACAGGCATGGCCCAGGGGTGACACAGTAGCACAAACTCTTCCGTCGTGGTCTCAGGGACTGGAGAGGGATCTGTGCACAAAGTCATGTGCCAAACCAAGGGCAGAGGCTGCAGGTCCTGCTCTGTCCCTGCACAAAGGACACTGACATTCCTTCCCCTGTGCCTGTCCCTGAGGATGTGCAGAGACCTCCAGGGACCTCCATCCCAAGCTTGTCAGTCCTGCAGGGATCTCTGGGGAAAGTTCAGCCCCCTGGTTTCAGAGCATCTCCAGGACACCAGCACCAGGGGTTAACAGTTTTTTCTCAGTACCACCCCCACGGCTTTGTGTTGCTTCCTTTTAAAGCCAGAGGCTGTTCTGGTTGTGACCCTTATCTCGGGCTGCTTTGCTGTTCTCCCTTGAGCTTGTCTGGGGTTTCCTCACTCCTTCAGAGCCCAGCTGTGCTTTCCCTTGTGAGGGCTTGTTTTCCCCAGCTAATTAGTGAGCACAGGCTAATGGCACGGCCCTCCCCTCTTTCCTAGTGGTCTGTAAGAAGAACTTGGACAGCACAACAGTTGCTGTGCATGGAGAGGAGATCTACTGCAAGTCCTGCTACGGCAAGAAGTATGGCCCCAAGGGCTACGGCTACGGGCAGGGAGCAGGGACCCTGAGCACTGACAAGGGGGAGTCTCTGGGCATCAAATATGAAGAGTGAGTTTCAGTCTTGTTTTCCAAACTGGGGCTGTTGTGGGCACCTTCTCCCCCACATCCGGCCGCTTGAGAAGCTTGGCTGTGGAGCCCGTGCTGAGCTTCCAGCAGCCTCTGCTCTGGAGCGTTCCGTGGGCTGCCCTGCCTCCCTGCTTCTCGGGGGGAAACCTGCTGAGCCCTGTTTGCAGAGTGGGATGGGGCTTGATGAGACATGTCCCTGTTGCCTGAGCGTGCTGCCCACCCCTCCCTGCGTGCAGCCCTGAGGCTGAAGTTTCCATGGGCCTCCACCTCGTACCTAAAGCTCCAGGCCCTTTGAAACTGGGTTGGGGTTTGGGATCCCACAGCTCTCCCCTCCTCCCTCTTGCATGTGCAGCCCTGATCATGAACTCCCTCCCATCCACAGGGGCCAGCCCCACCGACCCACCAACCCTAATGCATCCAGAATGGCCCAGAAGGTTGGAGGCTCTGATGGGTGCCCTCGCTGTGGTCAAGCGGTGTATGCGGCCGAGAAGGTGATTGGAGCTGGAAAGGTAAGAAGGGGGAAGGAGTGGACAGGGCAAGTACATCCCACAAGTTGCTTTGTGGCCGGGAAACCTTTGGAGAAGGTCTTGACCTGATCCACAGGATGCTGCAGGCTGGGCTTGAGGTCTGGTGGCCTTGTTCACCTGGAAACCTGGCACCAAAGGAGAGTTGGGCATGTCTGGAGACCAGGTTCTCCAGGTTCTCCCTTTTAGAAGGGAGAGAAATATATTTTATACTAAGTATTTGGAGCACTGCTCAGCAGAGGTCACAGTGGACATCCCTGCTGCTGGGTGTTGGCAGGATGAGCAGTGATGTGGGCCATGGCCACTGCCCCCACTAACTGAACAAGTGCAACATCCAGTGAACCTTCTCCACCTTCTGCCACAGGCTGAGATGCCACAGCCCAAATCTGGGGCAGGGAATGAATTCCAGTGGCCAGCACTGCCCACAGGCAGGGCAAAGTGGTTGGAGATGTGGGTATGGGCATTTCTCTTGGGCTGTTCTGCTGGAACAGGTCTGCTCAGGGTCAGGTGTAAAGGACACTCCACAACAGCCCTGGTCCCTCCTATGTCAAATTGATAACTTGACCAGGATCCTTGGTGTCCTAAGCTGTGGCCCAGCTCTGGGAAGCCTGGAAAGGCATGGGGATGTCTTCTCTGTCAGCCTGGAACCCTGGGTGAGCTCCCTGCCCTGAAGCAGCCTTACACCTGAGGTGGGGCACAAGTGCAGAGCTTGCCAAGGTCAGGCTCTTGGCCTGGTGCCCCAGGGGATGGGATGGCCATGCTGGGGAAGCCTCCCTGTCTCACTGGTGGCGATGGGTCACCCTTGCTGTGCTCTGTCCTCTGGGGTTTCTGTTTGTCCTCTGTCCCCAGAGCAAGGAAAGGGGCATGGAGCAGAAAGGGTCTCCCAGCTTCATCACACCCCAGGCTGGCAGTGCAGGGACTGGTGATGGACATGCTGGGGGGCAGCCCAGAGTCAGAAGCCAAACTTACCCTTAGAATAATGATCTGAGCTTCCTGGGAGGCTTCTGGGGTCGATGTTTATGGGGAACCAGAGCTGGCAAAACAATTACACTCATGCAAACTTGGAGAGGATTCCAGAGCATGTATTTCATGGGCTGATGTTTGCGGGATGACTCCATCTGCTCCCTCCTCCTGCAGCCCCCTAATTTCACATTTTCTTCCAAAAAAGGTTTCATGTTTTCTGAAGTGTTTATTTAAATTCCTCCATGAGCAGCTCTGGCTACTCTAGGTCTGCCCAGAGGCTGTGAGCTCATTTATCCCCAGGGGACTGGAGGAGCCGTGGGGGGGTGTTATTTTTAAACACTGGCTGATTTCTGCATTCTTTGTATGCGTTTGCTGCCTTCCTTGGAGCTGTAGCTGTGTAGGGGCTGGTGTCCCAGCCCTGCTGCTGACACAGGGCAGCAGTGGATCTCATCTGGAGAGCTTGTGGGATTTATCATGCTGCTTCAGAGATGATGATCACCAAAGAGGGGATGATTGCTCCTTATAAATTATTGTACAGATTATTGTTCAAATTACATCTGTCAGTGGGGGTGAAATCCTTCTGAAACTAGATGAACATGGCAGCAGTGACAACACCTGATGTTTCCTCTCTGTATCTTCCCCTGGGGTCTGGGAGAGCTGCTCACTCTTCCTAGAGAGCAGCTTTCACCCCGTTGAGACCTCTTTGGGTCAGAAACAGCAAAGTGTCCCCCTTTGATAGCCAAAGCATCCCTACCCTGTCCCTGGGTGATGTCTGACCCAGCTCTGCTCCTGCCCCACAGTCCTGGCACAAGTCCTGCTTCCGCTGTGCCAAGTGTGGCAAAAGCCTGGAGTCCACGACCCTGGCAGACAAAGATGGGGAGATCTACTGCAAAGGTGAGTGTCACCTTCCCCCTGCCTTGTCCTGCACTCTGAGGGTGAAGGTAGGAGGTGAAAACCTCTCTGCAGGGAACCAGGATGGGCCTGAGGTTTGGGGCCTGAGGTTTTGGGAGGTGGTGGCTTTTCCTGCTGCTCCTGGGGCCTCTTTGTCCAACAGATACAGCAAATCCTGTCCTGCTCGGGCAGTGCTGCTGTGAGAGGAGCACCTGGAGAGGAGTCTGCAGCTGCTGCTCTTACCTGTCTCTCCCTTCCTGTCCTTTGCAGGTTGCTACGCCAAGAACTTTGGTCCCAAGGGCTTTGGCTTTGGGCAGGGTGCCGGGGCCCTGATCCACTCGCAGTGAGGCAGCAGGGCAGGCTCTGCACCCGCTCAGGGCTCACCCAGACCCGCTGTGCTGCCCGAGCCCTCCTGCCCGCAGCGAGCACCTCAGCGCCAGCACCAGCCTCCTGCTGCTTCACAGCACCAGCCCCTCTCGCCCTGCCCAGCACACCCTGGAGCTGTGGGAGCCCCATCCTTGTCCCCATCAGGTCCAGCTGGTTGGGGTGCTGGCGGGGGGACAAACCACCCCCCCGCCCCAGCCGGGCCCCCTGGCCCCCAACGTTCTGCCCC